TTAACGATAATCGATTATTTTGAGTTAGTTTTCAAAACCTCATTTTAAGCCTCAAAATAACTTTCTAACCTTTTTAACTCATCATCATACACTCTCTACTTAGCTTAGATATAGATTTGCTCATGCACACAGCATTCACAACACACTAAACCAATCAACACAATTTATACACTAATTCCTATTACATAGTATTGACTTTTCTTTGACTTTGTTTTTGTGCTTCCAAGTTGTTGTTGTACACACACATTGTGATCATAAGTTGTTGTTGTACACACATGTTGTGATCATCAAAACTCCTTTAAGCTTTAAGCTCTCCTAAGCTCAACAATCTCCCCCTTGTTGATGATGACAACCCACGACTCACATTATATCAATCCAAGCTATTGTGCTCCAACCTTTCCAACCATTGTGCCTTGAACATACAAAACCTGCACAATACACACACACAAGCACAATATCTGCAAAACAACGATTGTACACACAACAACCTTTTCTGCCCCTTTGGCATTATCAAAAACAGATCAAGCCAATATAAACCATATTCATAGATTCAATCTCAGCAAATTGATGTTTGATAATTAGTTTTAATTAGGATTTTCAATTCTGTTTTGGAACAATGATTTTCGATCTGGTTGTAATAGTTTAAGTTTAGAACAATTTATTTGCTTTGTGGTGTTGAACAATTAAATTCTGGTGAAATTTGAGGTTTGTTTTGCTGATATGATGGTCTGATTGTGATTCCAAATGGTGATTTGGATAGCTGGTGCATTGATACTCTGTTTTTGAGCATATATGTGAATGTTCTGTTTTGATACTCTGTTTTGGGTATAGGTGTTAATTGTGTTTTTGTTGATTGGTTTGAATTGAGCTATTCTAAGGTGTGATATATAGCTTGTACTCAGTTTGGATTGCTGCATAAACAATTCTGACTTGAATTTTGCTGAGATTGAATCTATGAATATGGTTTATATTGGCTTGATCTGTTTTTGATAATGCCAAAGGGGCAGAAAAGGTTGTTGTGTGTACAATCGTTGTTTTGCAGATATTGTGCTTGTGTGTGTGTATTGTGCAGGTTTTGTATGTTCAAGGCACAATGGTTGGAAAGGTTGGAGCACAATAGCTTGGATTGATATAATGTGAGTCGTGGGTTGTCATCATCAACAAGGGGGAGATTGTTGAGCTTAGGAGAGCTTAAAGCTTAAAGGAGTTTTGATGATCACAACATGTGTGTACAACAACAACTTATGATCACAATGTGTGTGTACAACAACAACTTGGAAGCACAAAAACAAAGTCAAAGAAAAGTCAATACTATGTAATAGGAATTAGTGTATAAATTGTGTTGATTGGTTTAGTGTGTTGTGAATGCTGTGTGCATGAGCAAATCTATATCTAAGCTAAGTAGAGAGTGTATGATGATGAGTTAAAAAGGTTAGAAAGTTATTTTGAGGCTTAAAATGAAGTTTTGAAAACTAACTCAAAATAATCGATTATCGTTAATATATAATCGATTATTCCAGTAATAGGCAAAATGGGATGCCTTGCTGCAATAATCGATTATTTGCCAAAATAATCGATTATCCCAGGAACAACTCTCTGGAATAATCGATTATCCAGCAAAATAATCGATTATATTGTTCTTGGTTGGTTTCCAGAAAACCTGAAGAACAAAATAATCGATTATTCTTTAAAATAATCGATTATCTGCGCTGGGCACGGGTTTTGGTGCGTCGGGCGCATGAGACTCCTTGAGTCTCTGCCTGGCCAGCGCTGGGCGCAAAGACTATTGCGCTAAGTGCAAAATAGTCTTGGGTTCTCTGGTTGTACTGCGCTAGGCGCAACCACGTATGCGCCGGGCGCGGAGATGAGATTGTTGTAATGTTTTATGTTGAGTTGAATTGAAATGGAAGGTTATGAAATGATGTCTAGTAGATAATGTTGTTGTTGATATTGAATTGTATCTGGTGAATGTGTTGAGAAGTGGTGTTGTGTTGTAGATGATATGTTGAGCCGTGAAGCTGATGTGTTGAGTTGTATAGATGTACAATTGTGTTGAGTTGCAAGTTGATATGTTGAGTTGTATAAGTTGTGTTGTGTTGGAATGTTGATGTGAGTTGTTGTAGGCCGCAAGGCTGAGTTGTTGTAGGCCGCAAGGCTGAGTTGTTGTAGGCCGAAAGGCTGAGTTGTTGTAGGAGATCTCCGAGTTGATATGCGTGACGACGCATTGCATTCTTATTGACGATAATGTTGAAAACTGATGGAATGTATGTTGATGAAGTGTACATAGTCGTGTTTGTTTCTGTTTTTCTTAAAAATCCTTCCATATGTTGTTTTTTTATGCTAGCTTACCCTTTGTGTTTCCATGTGGTTGGACTGCTATGATCGTACTATGTACGGGAGCAGAGCAGGGATAGAAGGTGGATAGCGATGAGTCGGCAGCTGATAGATGGAGCTGACATCTATGGATGTTTTGTTTGTTTTAGTCACTAGGCATAGTGACTTCTGATGTAATTCTTGTTTTACATACCCTAACTCTAGTCGGATTCGGGACATATGTATATACTTATATTCTAGACTCTATATTTATATACTTGTTCTATTCTGTCTAGTGTTTCCGGTGTGTTTTGTTGATGAGTGGAATGGCCAGCCGGGTCGTTACAGACAACCCTCAAGATTAGGTCGGCTTTTGAAGGCTTTAGACTAGCTTTAGTTTTAGGGTAGTTTACTTTTGTTGCTTTTAATTGTATATCGACATGAGTTCGGTTTATTTTGATGTAGAAGGGGGCCGATAGAGCCTCAGGATTTTGCAATGAAAATTTTGTTTGCTTCCTCGGACAATGTTATCTCTTTGCATATGAATTTTGTTTCTAATAAGTGTAAAATAGCACTCATAACTAAGTAGTTAAGACGAACGCATCGATAAAAAGCAACCTTTGTCGAGATAGGTCCCTCGGTCAGGAAACCTTTTGTGTGAAAAACCGAAAGAGGTCCTTCGGCTTGGTACGATTTTGAATAAAAAACCGAGATAAGTCATTCGGTGAATGAGGTTTGTTTAGAGAATTCCGTAATCTTGCCGAGATAGGTCACTCGGCCAAGGAACCTTATGAGTGAAAACTGAACGGGAGTGCGTCGGTAATGCACGATTTTGAATAAAAAACCGAGATAAGTCATTCGGCGAGGGAGGTTTGTTTAGAGAATTCCGAAGGTAATCTTGCCGAGATAGGTCACTCAACCAAGGAACCTTATGAGTGAAAACTGAACGGGAGTGTGTCGGTAATGCACGTTGTTGAAGAAAAATCCGAATTAAGTCATTCGGCGAAGGAGGATTTTTTAGAGAATTCCGAAGGCACATCCTTACTCGGGAGGGAAGCCTTTTTGTACGATTTCTGAAGGCACATCCTTGGCCGAGTGGGGTCACTCGGGAGGGAAGCCTTTTTGTACGATTTTCAAAGGCACATCCTTGGCCGAGTGGGGTCACTCGGGAGGGAAGCCTTTTTGTTCTTGTACGTTTTCCAAAGGCACATCCTTGGCCGAGTGGGGTCACTCGGGAGGGAAGCCTTTTTGTTCTTGTACGTTTTCCAAAGGCACATCCTTGGCCGAATGGGGTCACTCGGGAGGGAAGCCTTTTTGTACGTTTTCCGAAGGCATATCCTTGGCCGAGTGGGGTCACTCGGGAGTTAAGCCTTTTTGTACGTATTCCGAAGGCACATCCTTGGCCGAGTGGGGTCACTCGGGAGGTAAGCCTTTTTGTACGTATTCCGAAGGCACATCCTTGGCCGAGTGGGGTCACTCGGGAGGGAAGCCTTTTTGTACTGCTTAGCCTAATGCGAATGGGTTCAAATAAGAGTAAGAATGAATCAGAGGGAACTGAACTGGATTTCATTAATGGGTGCCTCGTTAAAAACCTTGTCAGCCAAAACCCCTTTTCACTTTTTTATAAGGGGAGAAAAGACCGATCAAGGAAAAGAGTGCATCGTGCATGTACATTCATGATTACTTTGTCATTACAAAAATGTCTAACTAAAATAAGTCTTCAAGTGAGTCGAGTTCCAAGCTCGTGGAATAATTTTTCTCAAAAGCTCTTCGAGCTTGTGTTCTCCATTGTGGAGATTGTGCCGAATTCGAAACGGACCATTCCAATTGGCCGCCAACTTGCCTTCGCGTGGATTTCGGCGGGCCGTCCCTTGGACTCTCCATACAAGGTCACCTTCTTTGAATTCCCTCTTGTTGAGTGTAGTGTTGAATCTCCGAGTCATTCTCTGCCTATATGCTTCTGCAATTACCTGAGCCTTGTTGCGCACTTCTTCCACTGTATCAATTTTGGCTCGGATAGAGGTATCGTTTGAGTTCTCATCAAAATGAGTGCGTCGAAATGAAGGTTCTCCAACTTCTACGGGGATCATGGCATTGGTGCCATACGTTAACCGGAAGGGCGTTTCTCTTGTGGTTGATTGGGGTGTGCACCTGTAGGCCCACAATACTTCCAACAATTCTTCGGCCCAAGCTCCCTTCGCATCACCCAAACATTTTTTCAATTTCATGAGAATGACCTTATTAGCCGCTTCGGCTTGTCCGTTGGACTGTGGGTGCTTGTAGACCCCTAAAATTGTCCGGGTCGGAAATACGGCGAAGGAGGATTTTTTAGAGAATTCCGAAGGCACATCCTTACTCGGGAGGGAAGCCTTTTTGTACGATTTCTGAAGGCACATCCTTGGCCGAGTGGGGTCACTCGGGAGGGAAGCCTTTTTGTACGATTTTCAAAGGCACATCCTTGGCCGAGTGGGGTCACTCGGGAGGGAAGCCTTTTTGTACGTTTTCCAAAGGCACATCCTTGGCCGAGTGGGGTCACTCGGGAGGGAAGCCTTTTTGTACTTGT